AGCATATTTTTATTTGGTCTGCGTCTCACAAATGTTCTTCTTTGTGATCCGAACACCTCAAACTTCGATTCGTCTGTCCATAACACTTTTTTCCAATCTTCCTCTGTCCAGTGTCTATTTTCTTTTGCCCATCTTAATCTTTTCTTTTTATTGGCCAGTCTGAGATATGGCTTTTTCTTTGCAACTCTGCCTAGAAGGTAAGCATCCCGGAGTCGCCTCTTCACTGTTGAAGTTGAGACTGGTGTTTTGCGGGTACTATTATCTCTCAAACTACACACTAATGTATTTGTCCTCTTGCACACCGGGGCCTCCCACTCCTCTTTCTATTCTGGTTAGAGCCAGTTTGCGCTGTTCTGTGAAGGGAGTAGTACACAGCGTTGTACGAGATCTTCAGTTTCTTGGCAATTTCTTGCATAGAATAGCCTTCATTTCTCAGAACAAGAATAGACTGACGAGTTTCAGAAGAAAGTTTTGTTTCTGGCCATTTTGAGCCTGTAATCGAACCCACAATTGCTGATGCTTCAGATACTCAACTAGTCTCAAGAAAGCTTCTTTAAATCAGCACAACAGTTTTCAGCTGTGCTAACATAATTGCAAAAGGGTTTTCTAATGATCAATTAGACTTTTAAAATGATACACTTGGATTAGCAAACAACGTGCCATTGGAACACAGGACTGATGGTTGCTGATAATGGGCCTCTGTACGCCTATGTAGATATTCCATAAAAAATCTGTCGTTTCCAGCTACAATAGCCATTTACAACATTAACAATGTCTACACTGTATTTCTGATCAATTTGATGTTATTTTAAAATGGACCAAAAAAATAGCATTTCAAAAACAAAGACAATTAAGTGACCCCAAACTTTTGAACGGTAGTGTAAACAATATTGGTCTATCTGCACAGATTTTCTTTTACATACACCTGTATGCAGATGACACTTGTGTATGCTATTATCTGTTGACAAGGCTCTCTGAGCTACAATCTGCCTTTTTTGCTTTGCAGAAAGCCCTTGTTGAACTGAATTTGGTACTTAATACAGCTAAAACTAAGTATGTGTTATTTTCCAAAACACGTAGAAATGTAGCCGATGATTTATCCATACGTACTTTGGATGGTGCCCTCATTGATCGTGTCCACGCTTATAAATATCTGGGCATGTGAATTTATGAAAAGCTGTCTTTCAAAAAGCATGTTGATTAGTTAGTTATGAACAAAAAAAGGCTTATTCTACTGGAACAGGTCCTGTCTTTCGTTAAATAGCAGAAAAGGCTGGTAGGCTGGCCCTCAAAGTCTTGATGCATTGTGCTCTTTTTGTCTATAAAGCCTTCTTGCATAAACCTCCGCCATACCTTACCTCATTGTTAACCTTCAGGCGTATAAGTCAACAGACCCGGACTCAGGGACGGATAACCCTGGAGATCCCTTCAAACTTTTTTTTTTGCGCCTCATGTGGAATGAGTTTCCGTTCTGAAAATGTGTCGCCGGACAACGTGACCGAGAAGATTTGAATTTACCGGCCATTTGAGAAATTTACCAGACCCATATGCATTGGGTGCGTAACCATTAGGGCATCCACCACTGTGCTCAGAATGACAGAAATCACATTTAGATTATGGTAATGTACTCTTAACAGAACATGCAACTCCTGTAATGAAGCAGCCAATAAAGTGATTTTCAAACATTTGCCAAAATGATACTCGTGGGAAAACACCATTCTAAACAGCACACTTGATGCGAGCGGTATATTGCAGAGAATCTCAAACTTAGAGGGTGAATCTAAAGATGCAACAACTAGGATGGGTTGATAATATGACTAGGATTGTGCCTTTGGCTTCTGGACAACGAAAGAAAGTTGATATGAAAACCAATAGAACAGGAGAGAAATGGCATAAGTCTTATAGGCAGCACGCTTGGCAAAAGGCCTAGCTGATTATTGAGTTGCGCCTGTCAATGAAAAGCATCTAAAATGTGTGAAGATGTGTCTTGGGTATAATTTAAAATGTTGAGACAAGAAGGGGAGTGGTGTGTGGCGAAGATAGCCTATGGGCATCTCTCTCCAGAATGCACTCCGCTGTCTCCCGCAAATTGTTGCACATTCATTGTTTCATTGTGTGAATTGTTTGCCCTTCGATTGTTTATTTTGATCAATTCCCCTTTAAATATGTCACCAGTAGTAAATGTACCGTTAATCCCCGTCATTTGGTCACATTAATTTCTGTTAATGTATTAGTAATTAGGCCTACAGTCAGTTATTTACGTTCCCATTCTGGGAGTGGAAATGTTGTTTGCAAAGTTCACAACCTGCTACACTTGTGAGAAACAAGTTTAGCTTTTTTTCATAACCATAATTTATGAGTTGTTAATTTTTTTATTGTCTTTTGTTTGGGGTGCTCCATGTGAACAAGAGCATGCGTCTGGTTTCTGTCTTGTTAATGTTAAGGGAGCACGCATAGAAGTAGCCTAGCCTACCTGGATTGCTGCGCGCAAATGTAGGAAAGTGCCCATTTGGGGATGATTGATTTCTGATTGTCTTAACTCACCACATCCACCACTAATAAGCCGAGCTTCTCTGTAATTTTTTCTTCACCTCACACAGTAAGTCAACAGTCAGTTTTTTGTACATCCATTGTGAATGATGGCCTTCTGTGCAGAACTATTAGGCTTATTTGAAAAATCTTTCCAACAATCTCCCCCTCGAAATAAACCAGCCTTGGTGTGAAAGAGCAAAACATCTGATGATCCCAAAATATCCAAGGGAAACATCAACATACCTTCTTTCCCTTGCGCAAAAACAGCTGTCTGTCCCGAGCTCACTGGCGTGGGAAACTTGAATAGGCTAGTTGATAGAATGTAGTAAGTTTGCTAGAGACAGGTTCAGGCTGGATTCAGTTGATTGATTTGATACAATGTAGCACTCCACTAGTAATAGCTCAAGTCAAGAGAGATAGAAAGGGAGGCAGACAGGCTGAGTAGAGAGATAAATGTGATTGAAAGAACTAGAATTTTATCAGTATTGTTTTCTACTGTTTTTATTTGTCTGCTTTACGTATTTGTACTTAGTTGACAAGGAAAACAGCTGCATTGGCCACTGAGTTCCATGCGTTCATTTAGGCTATTTAACGGTGTATCAATGTGTCCGTATGGCAGAGGCTGGTGCTCTAGAATTAGTTTAATTGAAACTTGTATATTTGTATAATTTTAATTAAGATATTTATGATTAACCACGTGACAATGATTTTGAGAAATGAAAACGTTATTATTGAAATTAAACTGTTCCACGAAAAACTGCATATGAAAATCATAACTGGTAGGATAAATTGTATGCTTCCCCAAACGTTAAACTCACCCACCGCCTATGAAATCTTTATGAAATAATTATATCCACGTTTCCATGGTCGGATATTCAAGCAAGGTACACATGGCCAACAGTATGTGGACACCCGCTTGTCGAACATCTAATTCCAAAATCATGGGCATTAATATTGAGTCGGTCCCCCCTTTGCTGCTATAACAGCCTCCACTCTTCTGGGAAGGCTTTCCACTAGACGATGGGACATTTGGCCAGCAACAATTGTATTTTTAGGCCTTTAAAATTAACAGGCCAAAAGCCGGCAATTACCAGCAAACGGAAACCCTGCTCTAGGGCCATTCATGTAGATGTTAGAAGGCCTTTTTACTGAAGAATGTGTTTGTTTCGTATGATTGTGTTTTGCTTTTTGTGTTTGCTTTTCATGTATTGTGTAATTAAAGTATTCAGATCCCTTGACTTTTTCCACTTTGTTACATTACAGCCTTATTCTACAATGGATTAAATAGTTTTTCCCCCTCATCAATCTACACACAATAACCCATAACGACAAAGCAAAAAAAGAGGTTGACATTTTTCCAAATTTATAAAAATAAAAAACGTATATATCACAATGTGCCAGGTTTCCTCCAGACGTGACACTTGGCATTCAGGCCAAAGAGTTCAATCTTGGGTTCATCAGACCAGATAATCTTGTTTCGCATGGTCTGAGTCCTTTAGGTGCCTTTTGGCAAACTCCAAGCGGGATGTCATGTGCCTTTTACTGAGGAGTGGCTTCTGTCTGGCCACTCTTCCATAAAGGCCTGACTGGTGGAGTGCTGCAGAGATGGTTGTCCTTCTGTAAGGTTATCCCATCTCCACAGAGGGACTATGGAGCTCTGTCAGAGTGACCATCGGGTTCTTGGTCACCTCCCTGACCAAGGACCTTCACCCCCAATTGCTCAGTTTGGCCGGGCGGCCAGCTCTAGGAAGAATCTTGATGGCTCCAAACTTCTTCCATTTAAGAATGATGGAGGCCACTGTGTTCTTGGGGACCTTTCATTCTGCAGACATTTTTTGGTACCATTCCCAGATCTGTGCCTCTACACAATCCTGTCTCAGAGCTCTACGGACAATTCCTTCGACCTTATGGCTTGGTTTTTGCAGTGGGACCTTATGTAGACAGGTGTGTGCCTTTCCAAATCACGTCCAATCAATTGAATTGACCACAGGTGGACTCCAATCAAGTTGTAGAAAACATCTCACTGATGATCAATGGAAACAGGATGCACTTGAGCTCAATTTCGAAGTCTCATAGCAAAGGGTCTGAATACTTATATAAATAAGGTATCTGTTTGTTTTTTTAAATATATTTTCACAAATTTATAAAATCTGTTTTCACTTTGTCATTATGGGGTATTGTGTGTAGATTGATGAGGATTTTTTTTATTTAATCCATTTTAGAATAAGGCTGTAATGTAACAAAATGAGGAAAAGGTCAAGGGCTCTGAATACTTTCTGAATGCACTGTAGATATGTATAGTGAAATTGGTGTTTATTGATGTGTTCATGCAGGGTCCATCTGCAAAATAAACCATGGTCTCAGCATGACTCCCTGCTTATATAAAGGTTAAATAAAATATCACAAAAATGTAAAAAGAGGATTCATAGAATAAATTGCTAAATTTTTCGGTAGCATGCCGTGTCCCCCTACCTGTACGTGGTGCCAGTGCGGGGGTGGGGGGTGTTCTTGCAGCGGTAGAAGGTGGGGTCGCGCATGCAGCCGTTGTTGGAGGCCATGTCAATCTTGGCCCGCATGCAGCAGGTCTGGCCGTACTCCGTGCCCATCTTCATCTCCTCCCACATCTTTAGGTTCTGCTCCACCGCTGGGGGAGGGGTGGAGAAAAGGAGGGGGAGAGGGGTGGGAGAAAGAGAGAAAGAAGAGTGAAGACTGCGAGCGGTTTTGAATATCACAGTCATTATTTACTGAATTCCAAATTGACCCTAGACAAGTTCAAGCAATATGCGAGGTTCTCTATCAAAATCAGTCGCTTGTCTTGCAAGCTAATTAGCATTATTAGCACAGTCAAAAATATTGGTATGGTCTGTTTTTGGATTCAAACAGAATTCACTAGAACACCACATTTTCTAACCAACCCAATTCATTTGAATATCAACGTGTACAATTTTAAAGCCTCTGCTGATTAAATCCAACTTTCAAAATAAGTACTTGCTAGCTAAGAGTCAACTGACAAGCTAGCCAATTAATGGAATGGTATCGAACTCAAATACATGGTTTGCATGTGTTTGATACCATTCCATTCACTCTATCCCAGCCATTAATATGAGCTGTCCTTCCCTCAGCAGCCTCCTGTGATAAAGGTCCCACAGTTGACATTGGACGTCAGAGCAGTAACTAAACCATTTAGAAAGACATACCCAAGACTACTCAAAGCTGTAATCGCCGCCAAAGGTGCTTCTACAAAGTATTGTCTCAGGGGTGTGAATACATATGTAAATGAGATCTGTATTTCATATTCAATACATTTGCTAACATTTCTAAAAACATGTTTTTACTTTGTCAAAATTTTATCCATTTTGAATTTAGGATGGTGACACAAAATGTGGAATAAGTAAAGGGGTATGAATACTTTCTGAAGGCACTATAGCGGTTTAGCTTACTAGGACACACACCAACTCGTAGACGTATCAACTAGCTAGCTAGCACATTATCCCGTTAGACTGTTAAATGAGCAGCAAGCAAGCTACAAGTTATGCCAAATAATAGAGGTCTTCTAAAGTAGGACTTGCATTGCAACGTGCAGAATGCAAACAGCGCTGTGCTGAAAACTGACAAACTTCAGGGGAGATTTTCTCTGAACATCTTTTGAGTGGCAGGCAGCCTAGCAGTTAAGAGCATTGGGCCAGTAAACTAAAGGTCGCTAGTTAGAATCCCCGAGCCGACTAGGTGAAAAATCTGCCGATGTGCCATTGAGCAAGGCACTTAACCCTAATTGCTCCTGTAAGTCGCTCTGGAAAGGGTTTATAATAATACAAAACGTGTACGCCCAGCAGTGTTCTAGAATATTGGACCGTTGGCTTTCATACTTTTCTAATTCTGAGTGCAGCTCAAGCTATTTCTCCAACTGTCAACATTCAAATTAATAGAGGACGAGTACCGGAGGGCGTTGGTTGGTAATTGTGGGGATGGTGGTCTCAGAGCCCCGTAGCTATGTCATAATGGGAAACCGGACTATCGCGTCTCAGCGTCTGTGGACTGTGATTTACGCTTAAGAGCGGCTGCTTCATGACTAAAATGTAACATCTGATCAGGGATACCTCCGTTATAACTAGCTCTACTGAGCTAGCTTAGAATCTCTTTTCAAAAACTTACAGAGCTCAAAATGTATGTTGGGGTCAATGCGACTAAATGATGGAGCAAGTCACGTGGTAAAAACTTCCACATACCCTCTGAACAGTGGAGGCTCCTCAGAGGAGGAAGGGGAGGACTATCCTCCTCAGTGAATTTCATAAAAAAAAAAAAAGTGAAACTTGTAAAAAGTTATCCTTTTTAGATAAAACTATGCTAAATATATTGTATTTCAATGAAGGTCTCAACAGCACTCTGTAACAGCACTCTGTAGGGCAGCACCATGGTGTAGCTGGAGGACAGCTAACTTCCATCCTCCTCTGGGTACATTGACTTCAAAACAAATCCTACGAGGCTCATTGTTCACACCACCTTCCATAGACTTACACAGTAATTATGACAACTTCTAGAGAATGTCCTCCAACCCATCAGAGCTCTTGCAGCATGAACTGACATGTTGTCCACCCAATCAAAGAATCAGATAATTAATCTAGTACTTAAAGCATAAGCTACAGCTAGCTAGCACTGCAGTGCATAAAATGTGGTGAGTAGTTGACTCAAAGTGAGAGAGAGACAATAGTTGAACAGTTAAATACATTTCTTCAAAAATGAAGGAGAAGCAGAGATATATATTTAGTATTTTTTTCACTTTCACCGGTGTGACTGCTAAACTGCTTACTGACTATACAATGATTGTAGCAGGTTTCCTAAAGCGTTAGTTCTATTAGCTATGTTGACTATGACGTTACTTTAGCTAATATGGTGACAATGATCTAGGCTGTGTGTAGCAGTTATGATATGGTTTGGCTTGGAAAGTTTTTTAAGCCTGGTCACATACAGCTGATGTGTTGTGCATTGAAGTCCACAAGCGAAGGGAAAAGGTGAGAGGAGGAGAGCACGTAGATGCGAGAAGGAATGCAATGTGGCTGCTATGAAAGTGAACTGTGTTAATGTGTGATCAGGGTTGTTTGTATTCATGCCACCGATTCTGTTGAAAAAAACATTTCTTAAACGGAAGCAAACGGAACAAAACGGGGATAAACATACCAGAATTTGTCCAATAAAACAAATTTGCATCTGTTGGACTAATGATTACACCCTAGACGAGCTAGTTGCAAGGCGGTATTGAATGTGTTGCTGTCTGTCCATGTGTCACTGTCTGGCACCTCAAATATTTATCTCGACCTGTGTGCACCTACGTTGTAAACTTTCATTCATAGGCTAGGTTGTAGCCACCTCATGATGAGTATAGGGCAAATTCAAGTATCAAGTAGAAGCCTAAACCTATCGATGTTACATTGAGCTGGGTGAATGGAATATGAATGACAGTCATCCAATATGCTGTAATAGAAATAAGGCCATGCTCATGGAAAAAAATAATCGTCCTCCCTCATCTTAAACGGCACCGACCGCCACTGCCTCTGAAATTTCAGAGAAAATCAGTTTCAGATCTAACGCAGTGGCTACGGACAAGGGGTCAAGTTGGTAGTCAGCTATTACACCACTCATATTGCCCTTACAGTTGCTGCGGTGGCGTGACTCTGTGCGCTGCTCCCTTTCTGCCTTCATCTGCTCTGGGGGTGTGTCGTCGATGTAGGCCTTGCCATCCCTCAGCAGCTGCTCCGCCATGCCCTGGATGCGGGGAAAGTGGTCGCTGGTGTAGGTGAACTGGTCTGGCTTGATCTGCAGCATGGCCACGTCCTCCAGGATCACCTGAGACAGACACAAAGGAAAATGATTAGGCTAGATCCCTTTTCTGTGGTTTCATCCTTACCACTTTATACTTGTGGTTGTTTTAGTAGGTCAGACATTCGATCATTTCCCTTTTTTACAAGTATCAAGTAATTCAGCTTTTACATAATGCCTCCAGGCAATAGTAATACATACAGTGGGGAGAACAAGTATTTGATACACTGCCGATTTTGCAGGTTTTCCTACTTACAAAGCATGTAGAGGTCTGTAATTTTTATCATAGGTACACTTCAACTCTGAGAGACGGAATCTAAAACAAAAATCCAGAAAATCACATTGTATGATTTTTAAGTAATTCATTTGCATTTTATTGCATGACATAAGTATTTGATCACTTACCAACCAGTAAGAATTCCGGCTCTCACAGACCTGTTAGTTTTTCTTTAAGTAGCCCTCCTGTTCTCCACTCATTACCTGTATTAACTGCACCTGTTTGAACTCGTTACCTGTATAAAAGACACCTGTCCACACACTCAATCAAACAGACTCCAACCTCTCCACAATGGCCAAGACCAGAGAGCTGTGTAAGGACATCAGGGATAAAATTGTAGACCTGCACAAGGCTGGGATGGGCTACAGGACAATAGGCAAGCAGCTTGGTGAAAAGGCAACAACTGTTGGCGCAATTATTAGAAAATGGAAGAAGTTCAAGATGACGGTCAATCACCCTCGGTCTGGGGCTCCACGCAAGATCTCACCTCGTGGGGCATCAATGATCATGAGGAAGGTGAGGGATCAGCCCAAAACTACACGGCAAGACCTGGTCAATGACCTGAAGAGAGCTGGGACCACAGTCTCAAAGAAAACCATTAGTAACACACTACGCCGTCATGGATTAAAATCCTGCAGCGCACGCAAGGTCCCCCTGCTCAAGCCAGCGCATGTCCAGGCCTGTCTGAAGTTTGCCAATGACCATCTGGATGATCCAGAGGAGGAATGGGAGAAGGCCATGTGGTCTGTTGAGACAAAAATATAGCTTTTTGGTCTAAACTCCACTCGCCGTGTTTGGAGGAAGAAGAAGGATGAGTACAACCCCAAGAACACCATCCCAACCGTGAAGCATGGAGGTGGAAACATCATTCTTTGGGGATCTGTTCTGCAAAGGGGACAGGACGACTGCACCGTATTGAGGGGAGGATGGATGGGGCCATGTATCGCGAGATCTTGGCCAATAACCTCCTTCCCTCAGTAAGAGCATTGAAGATGGGTCGTGGCTGGGTCTTCCAGCATGACAACGACCCGAAACACACAGCCAGGGCAACTAAGGAGTGGCTCCGTAAGAAGCATTTCAAGGTCCTGGAGTGGCCTAGCCAGTCTCCAGACCTGAACCCAATAGAAAATCTTTGGCAGGAGCTGAAAATCCGTATTGCCCAGCAACAGCCCTGAAACCTGAAGGATTTTGAGAAGGTCTGTATGGAGGAGTGGGCCAAAATCCCTGCTGCAGTGTGTGCAAACCTGGTCAAGACCTACAGGAAACGTATGATCTCTAATTGCAAACAAAGGTTTCTGTACCAAATATTAAGTTCTGCTTTTCTGATGTATCAAATACTTATGTCATGCAATAAAATGCAAATGAATTACTTAAAAATCATACAATGTGATTTTCTGGATTTTTGTTTTAGATTCCGTCTCTCACAGTTGAAGTGTACCTATGATAAAAATGACAGACCTCTACATGCTTTGTAAGTAGGAAAACCTGCAAAATCGGCAGTGTATCAAATACTTGTTCTCCCCACTGTAAATGCATTCTCTCTCCTAAAATGTCTTATTTTCTTTAATGTAGCCTATTCTCGGTTTTCACACAGGATTGTTTATACATGAATTCAGAAGATTGGGGTGGGGGGATACCTTCTCAAAGTCCTCCTTCTCCTTCTCAGGGTTGGTGTCGTCAAAGCGCATGATGAGCTTGCCCTTGAAGGTCACCTGGTAGTGCTGGTTGAGCAGGGCAGCCTTGGCATGGCCAATGTGCAGGTACCTAAGAAAAAGAGACATGTACAAAAGTTTTCTGTATGTTTTTCCTAATGAACACATCACTGTTGTTGTGGGAAGTTGCCCCTTACCCGCTGGCCTCAGGGGGGAAGCGGACCACCACCTTGCCCATCTCGGCTCCTGGAAGCTCCACAAACTTCCCCACGTCCTGCTTCTTCTCCTTCTCCTCAGACTGAGAACAGGGACACAGAGAGGAGGATACAGTCAGGGGGATATTGGAATGCTTGATTTAAGTGAACATTTGTGTTAAGTGTGAAGATCTCAAATTAGGACTCTGCTCTTAACAGTGTATTCACATTGCTCACTACTTGGGCCACAAAACAACCAGAAATCTTTCATTTTCAATGGAAGGAGGAGACATTCAGCGAGTTGACCATTGGCAGTTGTGTTACTTACATTGGAATTACGTGGGGGGGCCTTGCTGTTGGCGTACTTGTTGCCCACGGCAGTGAAGGGCACCTGGGAGCCCAGGAAGGAGAACCAGCGAGCCACATGGGACAAGGCCCCAGCTTGCGTCTGCATTGACTGCCACTCACTGCTACCTGTTCACACACGAGAGAGATGGAGAGAGAGATGTCCTGATGGGCAGTAGAATGTGTGAGGGACTCGGTTTGAACCTGAGTTACATGACTAGAAGCCTAGGCAACATGGCTGCATCTACCCCATCCATCTTCATGTTTAGTATTAAAAGACTATCAGCTGAACATGACAAGAGCCAAGTTCTCCCCAAGATTGATTTTAATGACGGGGCATACAAGCAAAGGCATACAAAGTAGCATACAGGGCAGTAAACGCCAACACATTAAATTGAAACCAACAGAAGCCCAACAAAGCTAGGTGGGGAGGCCTAAACTACCTAAGACCCTCAAACTCAATTCTGGACCTTGAAGCCAGCTCCACTTCATTGTTCCCCTCTAAATCAGGGTTAGACTTGGGACACCAGGTGTGTGCAATTAATTATTAGGTAGAACAGAAAACCAGCAGGCTCCGGACCTCGTAGGGTAAGAGTTGAGTTCCCCTGGCCTAAGATATGGTGGGGGAAACACTGACCTTTGAGCACGGCCCACACACAGATGTCGGCCAGAGTCAAGCTGTGGCCCACAAGAAAGGTGCGCAGCTCCAGGGCCTTGTCCAGTTCCCCCAGGGCCGCGGCGGCAAAGCCAGACTGGCCACACACGCGTTGTGCACTGAACTCCAGCCAGTGGTCCACCTGGGAAGAAAAATAGGGAGGCACACAAGCAGTGAAGGACAGAAGAAGAATGGGGGAGGGCATAGATATAGTTGCATTGTGACTGAAAATAATGTACAGTGCATTTGGAAAGTATTCAGACCCCTTGACTTTTTCTACATTTTGTTACGTTACAGCCTTATTCTAAAATTGATTAAATTGTTTTTATCCCTCATCATACCCCATAATGACAAAGCAAAAGCCGGTTTTTAGATTTTTTTAGTTAGAGTCTTGGCGGTTCCAAACTTCTTCCATTTAAGAATGATGGAGGCCACTGTGTTCTTAGGGACCTTCAATGCTGCAGACATTTTTTGGTACCCTTCCCCAGATCTGTACCTCGACACAATCCTGTCTCGGAGCTCTACGGACAATTCCTTCGACCTCATGGCTTGGTTTTTGCTCTGACATGCACTCTCAACTGTGGGACCTTATATAAACAGGTGTGTGCATTTCCAAATAATGTCTAATTAAACTTAATTTACCACAGGTGGACTCCAATGAAGTTGTAGAAAAATCTCAAGGACGTCAAATGGAAACAGGATACACCTGAGCTCAATTTCAAGTCTCATAGCAAAGGGTCTGAATAATTATGTAAATAAGGTATTTCTGTTGTTATTTTTAATAGATTTGCAAAGATTTCTAAAAACCTGTTTTTGCTTTGTCATTATGGGGTATTGTGTGTAGATTGATGAGGATTTTTATTTATTTAATCAATTTTAGAATATGGCTGTAACGTAACAAAATGTGGGGAAAGGGTCTGAATACTTTCCGAATGCACTTTAACTATATCCATGGCATTTCGGACTGTGTACCATACGACTGTGTGCAATTTGAGGACTGAAAACAGCTGACAAATTGTGATTTTGGAGTGTTATGTCCCTTAGATTGAAAATAAATAAATAGTTGAATGGCTGAGTGAATTGAATGCAGCCTCCGGACTACTTCTGCCCTCCAGGTTTTCCGTTCAGTAGCCATAAACTGCGAGCTCAAGCTAATAATGCTGGGTAAATTTTGGGTATGCCCAAGTTTTGGGGTCAGTGCTAGTCTCACCTCAGTTTGTTCCAGCATGTTGGAGCCGTACAGGCCCAGACTGGGAGCCACACGGGCAAGATAGCGCGTGATGGAGTTCAAATCGCTGAACTGCACTGACCTAAGGGAGCGAGAGGGGGAGAAACACCACTGTCAGCCAGATAATACGTTTGATTGTTGCAAAGTCAGAGCCTTATAAAAAAAACGTATACAGAGTGGCTGCAGACTGAACAATTCTCTGAACTTTTTTTCCCTAAACTAAAAGATCCTGAAGCTTGTGCGGATCACGTTCTGCGTATGTGTTTTTTCTCTACTTTACGCAGTCTCTGCTCCACTCAGAGAACAGCCTACTCTGGCGAATGGTGCTTGTTTAATAAAGTTAGGTCAAAGCCAAATCAATGTCTGCAAGACCACATAATGATAGTATTCTACATAACAAAACCAAATATAACAGCATAGCGTTACTGTAAGAGAAAAACACCACCGCGTTTCTCTCTCATGTGGCCATAACTCAACAGGACATGCCACTAGGCAAAATACACAGGTAGGCTATGCCACAGTTTGTTAACACCGTCTGCTTTAAAATTTGCTCACTGTACATCATTCAAAACAACACTGTAGGCTACTTTGAAACACTGCATAGCTCAAGAAGAACTAAATGCAAATCCCCATGAAACTGAATGGACGTTTCACCGGTAAAACTTGAAGAATTATCATTCCTGATTGACAGTGAGAAATGTGAAGGGAAGGAGACCACAAAAATGTGTGAGTAAAATAGAAGTAAACAAACATGCACAGAACGTGATCCACACATGCACAGCAGCTTCGGGAACTATTTTCCCCCCCAAAAAAATCACGATAACATTAAGAAACAGCCATTTCTAGATGTTGTGGCTGTTGTTGTGTACTCACTGTGAGATGCAGAGCTTGTTGTCTTTGCCCTCCTCCACAGACACGTTCACGCTGCCCTTCACATGCTCTGCTGTCAACAGCGCCCCTGCAGGAGAGAAATCAATGTAATTGGCATTGAATGACCACACCTGTCACAGCATGCAATGCATTCCTTGACAGAGAGCCCTAAATAGAAAGGTTGTGTGTATGTGTAACACTCCAGAGACTAAACACACACAAATTTATGTTCTCACGTTGTTGTACATAAGACATGACACCCAAAGTCAACATTGACAAATGTCTCTCGACTTTCAAATATATTTAAAGCAACTAGCCCTAATGCCATATTAATGTAGGGTGGGTGGCAGGTAACCTAGCGGTTAAGAGTGTTGGGAGAAGGGTTTCTGGTTCAAATCCCTGAGCCGAATAGGTGAAAATCCCTTGAGCATTGTGCCCTTGAGCGGTTATTTTTGTGTCCTCAAAAGCTGTGAGCTGTAAATAATGTTATATCAACAGGCCAATTATAAATACAGTGCCTTCAGAAAGTATTCACACAGCCTTGACTTTTTCTACATTTGTGTTACTGCCTGAATTTAAAATGAATAAATTGAGATTTGTCACTGGCGTACACACAATGCCCCATAATGTTGCTCACCAAGAAGACAGTGAATATTCCTGAGTGGCCGAGTTAGTATTTACTTAAATCCTTTTGAAAATATATGGCAAGACCTGAAAATGGTAATCTAGCAATGATCAACAACCATTTTGAAAAGAATAATGGGCAGATGTTGCACAATCCATGTGTGCAGAGCTTTTAAGAGACTTACCCAGAAAGACTCAAGGCTGTAATCGCTGCCAAAGGTACTTTTACAAAGTATTGACTCAGGGGTGTGAATAATTATGTAAATGAGATTTCAGTATTTCATTTTTAATACATTTGCTAAAATGTCTAATTACATGTTTTCACTTTGTCATTATGGGGTATTGTGTGTAGATGGTTGAGAAAACAAATATTTAATCCATTTTGAATACAGGCTGTAACAACAAAATCTGAAATACGTGAAGGGGTATGACTACTTTCTGAAGACATTGTACACGCATGCAACTTCTTAGTGCTATAGAACATAATTATTCGAATGCATGAACCAGTTTAAAGACAGTCTAACTAGCTTAATGCTAATTTATACTCTATGCAGACAGAAGGTTCGGAACGTAGCGCTGCTGCCTTTAGTCTCTTTCATGTCGCTTGCATCAGCCAGTTACACCGGACTGACACACAGGATGGTGCTGTTGTTGAGGTCAGGGGTATACATTGCACATTGATTGCAAAGCCATGATAACAACTCTCAATAGAAAAATACAGAATCATATTTGAATCATGAGTGGAAATGACTAAAGAGATGATGCAACCAGGTAGCTAGCTATGTGACCTTGCAAGATAAATTTAGCAAACGTTATAATTAGCCAGATAGCTAGCTACTACTTCCCGTCTAGGTAGCTACATAATCAGCTGTATTGTTGTGGTTTATTCCGCTGACATTTACAACAAATATCGTTACATCATGCAATGAGAACTTAAAATAAATAACTAACTAGTTATGATCTATTAGCTACATTAAATATATATTTTATTCATCTTGGCGATAGCTTCTTTGTGCCACGACGACAGAAACCAGGCTAGCTAGCCTTCTGTAATAAACTGACGGCACATGCAAACGTAAGCTAGCAAGTTAGCTTCCTTTTAGCCACATATTCTTATCCATCTGTTTTAGCTTTAGCTAGAAAACAATACTACCACGCATACCTAAAGGAGGGTTTCTGCTGTTGATGGTAAGGTTTAAAGCCATGCTTTCTCCTCCCTTTCTGATCGTGAAAGTTATCGCAGAGTTCCAAAACCTTCCCAAAGTCTGCTCGCGAACAGCACTCACTTCAAGCAAAAGCCACGCAGCAGCTAGCTTCTTTGATTATATGCAACGGCTTTAGGAATCCCCTTGAAATTGGTATAGAGAAGAAACGTTCCACTATCTTAAATCATGGCTATTTCATGACCTATGAATGAAAGAAAACTGAGAAAGAAAAGTGGAAGCAGAATAAATAAATCACCACATTTATTTTATTAGTGAATGAATAGCAAAAACATGAATTGTGTGGGCCAATAACTGGGTAAAGCTCATATCAGTTTGTAAAGATATTCAAATGACATGTCATATTTAATTTGCATACAATAAAACAGTAACAAACAGAATCTGTGACAGTATGTATTATTTCAAGCAGCAAGAATATCCAGATTTTTACGCACATTTTATTTATCTTCGTATTTTCATCAAAGAAAACAAGGCTAGTGATAAAGCGTGATGATTCATATTTATATTTA